CTCAACCACCTTGGGAAGAGCGTCCTTGTGGATGCCTCATTGCCAGTATGTAGCGGGCACCACTGCTGTGTGAAAGGGCGGGTCTGACGTGCATGCAGCGGTCGGCGCTTATCCGAGGGCAGCTGGTCCCTACGGCCCAAAGTGAAGCGTCAGCGGCGGTGCAGCAGCACGCGGGGCGACACCAGCACCGCCATCGAGGCCATCTAGCGCAGGGAGGCGCGAGAGGCGGCCAGGATGGCAAGCCAAAATGGCTAGGCGCCCAGCGGCGTCGCGGCAGCGCGCGGGGCGACCCCAGCGCCGCCAGCGAGGCTCACGAGCGCAAGTGGGCGTGAGAGGAGGCCAAGATGGCAAGCCAATTGGCAGGCCAGAGTGGCTAGGTGCACAGATGACCGCACGCAGAGCGGAGGCTAGAGCAACAGGTGCTGCGGCGCGAGGGGGGTACCACTGTGGGCACGCCGCGCTCGCGGGCAAGGCGGCGTTGCTGCAGCTGGGGCGTAAGCAGACCTACAGGTTCAGCGCCTCTGAGAGTGGCAGGCACGAGACCTTGGCATGGACCCACGTAGCCTCCCCGAGGGCATAGAAGCATCCGATGCTGTGGGCCTGCTGGGTTTCATCATTCAGGCGGGCTGGCCTGCCCCCTGCGCAATGGCTGCAAAGACCTGCGACGGCAGCGCTTGCACTTCCCCCCCGAGGTCGCCACTGCCGCCCGCCTGCCCTGAGGGCCCAAAGATCTGGCGCTCGAGATCTTCGCCGAGGGCCACGTTCAGGGCTGCAAAATTTGGGATCTGCTGCGGGAGCGGGTCCGTCGGCGGCGGCGGGTCCGTCGGCGGCGGCGGCGCCGCAGGGGGCGCCGTCAGCGGCGGCGGCGGCGGGGCCATGATGGCCGCTGGCGGGGCCCCGACAGGCGGTGGTGGCGGGTCCTGGCTGCCGCGGGCCCCACCCGCTGGAGGGGCGCCGGCGGCGCGGACGGGGGTGGCACGCGGGGCGACCCCTGTGCCACCCCCGCCGCCCGCGAGGCTGCCCTCCCGCAGGTTGTGGCGGCGCTCGTAGAGCGCCAGCTCCCTGTGCGCCATCTCCAGGCGCTCCCTCTTGGCCTTATTCCGCGTCTTCTTGCTGTAGCCCGCCCACTCTGGGTGCAGGTCGCGCACAGGTCGGTCCACTTGAACTCGGTCAGGCTCTCCCAGGAGAGCCCCTCCATGAACGCGTAGTGGCCCTCCCGCTGCGGCTGGTGTGGAGCGTAGCGCTTGAAGACGGTGCCCGCTGCCAGCGGCTCGACCTTGGGCAGGCACTGCAGGAGGTCCACAGCGCTGAACACTGGCATCTCCTCCTTCTTGAGCTTGTCGTAGCGCAGCAAGGCCTTCAAGTCGCGGATGTCCTCCTCGGGGCGTTCTGCGTGCATGTAGTACGCACGTGGCGGGTTCAGCTCCTCCTCTATCAACTCGATGCAGACGCCGTAGGAGGTCGAGTAACGCGCGCCACAGTGGCAGTACCAGCGCTGGCCCGTCTTCCCCGCCGCTTCCTGCGCGCAGGTGAGCAGCTGCGTCCAGCGATCCGATCGGACCACCGAGCAGCATCCCCTGGGGTTGCCCCAGGTCTTGTTGGCCGAGCACTTGTAGTACATGTTGAACGTGAAGCCCTTGCCACGGTAGAACTGGCCCGTGTAGTCGCCCATGCGTCGGTAGGCCTCCTGCGCCGCGGTGTTGCCCTGACACTTCTCCTTCCAGGCACGTTTGTGTCCCAGGTGTGCGTCCGCGACCCCCGAGGCTTCCAGGAGGCCCTTCTTCAGTCTTCCCACATCATCCTCTGCCTCCTCATTCAGCGCGTCGAGCCAATTCTGGACCCCGTCCTGCGCCTCTGTGCCCCTCGCCATGTCTTCCTTCTTCTCCAGGATGGGCCCCGGGCCTCCCAGCATGCGGGTGCGCATGGTCTCGAATTTGAGGACGCCATAGGCCCGCGCCATACGCTTCAGCGATTTCTTGGAGAGGCCGAGCCGCAGCAGGGGCTCGATGTCCGTGACCTCCTCAACGGTCTTGACGTCGGTCAGCTGGTGCTCCTGGTCCTCAGCATCGTTGTCGGGTTGGGGGTCGCTCTCCTCGCCGCGGGGAGGTCCATCCTCGAGGGGTGGGGGTGGCGCACGGGGCGGCCCCGGCACCGCCCCCGCCTCCATCGCCATCGGACGACCGACCTCCTCCGCCACCGTTTCCGCGGCTGGGGGGGCGCCCGTGCTCTCGGGATCGATGCCCACCCCTACGCCCTCCGTTGACCTCCACACGGCAAGCAAGCCTTCCTCGGAGAGCGCGAATCCCACCAGCACGTCCATGCGAGGGAACCGATCCTTGTGCAGGCGGAAAACGGCCTGACCCCCGTTCGGGGCCCTGGACGGGCAGGAGAGGGGAAAGGGGGGCGAGGAAACACGCAAGAGCAGTGGTATGACCTCCCACAAAGTCGAGAGCAGGGGCAGACTGAGGTTTGGCGCCCACTGGCGGAGGGTCAAGGTGTTGTATTCGTCAAGGTTGACCTCCTTGGTCTCCTGACAGGTGACTCCGAGTCCGCTCCAGAACCAACTCCAGGACGCGGATATCTCGATAACGTCCTCCCACGAAGAGGCCCCTTCGCAAGCTGGTGTCGCTCGCGTCGACCGCTCAGTGGTCTCACCCACCTTCAGGAAAGAAGAGCTGAAATTGCCGAGTTCAATGAGGTCTCCGAAGCGCCTGACATTTCCGTTAAGCCCGCCTCTGACCAGGGTTTCGCAAGCGCTCCAGCAAAACACTGCACATTTGTCTTCCAGGAGATAGGCCGGGCAATACTCCACATAGTCTGCGGTATCCTGAGGAGCCGTCGCTGTGAGCCCCGGCAGCTGGATGCGGAAGGTCGAGAATTTCGAACCTGAAGCGGTGGTGTCCGCATCGGACCAGGCTTCCCAAAGATTGTCAGGCCCAGAGTCCATCACGTATTGCCAAGTGTCGGGCACTGAAACGAAGACGTCCTCGCGGCAATCGGTGCCGCCGGACACCCGCGTCGTAGAATAGCCATCGATGCGGAAGTTCTTCCCTACCTCCGAAACAGCACCGCACGTCAGTGTAGAAGTAGACTGACGCGCACCTGTGACGCCAAGGAACATCGACACATCGCCAACCTTGAGACGTTCGAGAGGATCGGTCACTCCGGCGACTGAGGCGACAACCGCACGGAGGCCTAGAGTCCAAAGCCTGACACGGACCGAGGATAACGAGATCTCTGGTGCAGACGCCAGCGTGGCTGGGTCTGCCTCAAAATGCCGACACTGGTCAGTTCCTGCAATATGAGCGTACATCACAGGCCCCCAGAAAGCCGGGTTGTAAGGCTGGTCCCCAGATGCGGTATGCACAAATCTGTGGCCGGCGGTGTCTTTCTCATTCGCCGGATCGCAATCGATCAAGGGCCTGGTTGAGCCGTCCTCGTGACACATCACAATGTAGTCGCCTTGCCTTCCAGCCTGTGAAACTGAGACGCTCAGATAGCGGCCGTAGACCTCAACGAACTTGGCGAAGGACAACCTGGGCTGGCGGGGCCAGATGCGTCCCAGTGCCTGGCAGTAGGATGCCTACTACTACTGCTACTACTATTACTACTACTACTACTACTACTACTACTACTGCTGCTACTACTACTACTACTACCACTACTACTACTACTACTACTACTACTACTACTACTACTACTACTACTACTACTACACTACTACACTACTACTACTACTACTACTACTACTACTACTACTACTACTACTACTACTACTACTACTACTACTACTACTACTACTACTACTGCTCTGCTGCTACGATCTTCTACGCACTACTACTAACTAACTGGACTACTCCTACTACCACTACGCTTCTTACGGCTACGACGACGACTACTACTACTACTACTACCACCACCACTACTACTACTACTACTACTACTACTACTACTACTACTACTACTACTACTACTACTACTACTACTACTACTACTACTACTTCAACTACTACTACTACGACTACTACTACTACTACTACTACTACTACTACTACTACTACTACTACTACTACTACTACTACTACTACTACTACTTACTACTTACAACTTACTACTACTACTACTACTACTACTACTACTACTACTACTACTACTACTACTACTACTACTACTACTACTACTACTACTACTACTACTACTACTACTACTACTACTACTACTACTACTACTACTACTACTACTACTACTACTACTAGTAATACTACTACTACTACTACTACTACTACTACTACTACTACTACTACTACTACTACTACTACTACTACTACTACTATACTGCTGCTGCTGCTGCTGCTGCTGCTGCTGCTGCTGCTACTACTACTAGTACTACTACTACTACTACTACTACTACTACTACTACTACTACTACTACAACTACACTACTACTACAACTTACAACTACAACAACTACTACTACTACTACTACTACTACTACTACTACTACGACTACTACTACTACTACTACTACTACTACTACTACTACTACTACTACATCCTCCTCGTTGTCCTCCTCATCATCATCACGATCACCAACAACAGCACCGGTATCAGCATCATCATCGACATTCTCCTCGCCCTATTCCTCCGCCTCCCTTCCTTGTGTCCCTCGTGTTCCTACTCCTCCCCTGTGCTCCTCCTCCTCCTCCTCCTCCTCCTCCCTCGTCCTCCTGATTCTTTCCTCCTTTTCTTCCTCCTCCTCATCCTCCTCCTCCTCCTCCTCCCCCTCCCTCTCTCTCTCTCTCTCCCCTCCTCCTCCTCCTCCTCCTCCTCCTCTCCTCCTCCTCCTCCTCTCTCCTCCTCCTCCTCCTCCTCCCCCTCCTCCTTCCTCCTCCCTTTCCCTTCTGATTGCATCCTCCTCCCCCTTCCTCCTCGTCCTCCTCCTCCGCAACATCAGCAACAATCTTGGGGCGCTGCAGCTGCTCCCCCCCGAGAGGCCCCTCCTGCTCGCGGTCGGCGTACCCGAACTTGCCCCAGTCCGACACCTTGATGTCGGACCGCTCCCCCCGCTTGCAACGGTCCACCTCAGCCCACAATTGGCAGGAGAAGGAGGACGAGGAGGAAGAGGAGGAGGAGGAGGAGCAAGCGGAAAAGGAAACGGAGGAGGAGGATCATGACAATGCTGATGCTGATGATACTGTTGCTGCTGATGATGATGGTGATGATAAGGAGGAGGAGGAGGAGGAGGAGGAGGAG